AAGCTACGCTTTGTCCGCCTGCAGCAATCAGATTGAAACCCGAACCATGTTGCAACTCAATCCAAAGCTTCCTGCCTGGGCCATGCTTCGGGGCCCACTCCGTGATATGCCGTGGTATGTGGTTGAAAGAAGTACAGGCAAGCTTTACAGTAAGAGTTGCTTCTTTGATCAGTTGCCGTACATAGGCTTACAAGCTTGCTGTCATCGACTGGGTGGGCTCCTTCAGCTGTTCTGGAAACACTGCCACCAGCTGATCGTGCCGCTGCACCTGTCAAGGAGCCAAATACATGAAGAACAATCTAATTGCCCACAGCAAAAAAACGGCAAATGCTTGTTACACACTTTGATGCTTTACCTCACTTCTCCAGCAAGGGCCTAATGAATGCAACACTAAGTGGCAGAACACACACACACACAACAGGGTTGTTGAATATCAGCCGATTCAGGGACAATGGGCCAACATCATCCCGATTTCTTTGCTTGGCTCGGGGCAAGCAACACCGACAACTAAACTGCGATATCCATCGCAGAGCGGGACTGCAAAACGCGAGACTGACTGAAGCGCGGCATAGCAAAACAACTGGGATATCAATAAGCAAAAGGAGGGTAGCCGGCCTCGGGGCCTGGCTTTTAACCCATGAGCGTGGACAAGGGTCTAGAAGCTGTTCCCTCTTCCTTCCCAACATTGCCGCAATTTGGCTCATGTTTCGTTATTTCTAGGTTGTGCCACCTTCGCCTTTGACGGTGCGGGAGGCATCGGGAGATCCAAGGCATTGGAGCTTTCTTCCAACAACCACGCGCATCAAAGCAACACAAAAACTTACACGGCCTATGCAAAACGTGCCATTCTGCCGGGTTGATCTCGTTACCTATGTGCATGCTTTCGTTCTTAGGTAACGTTTCGGGAGGCGTCACACGATGCGCTTTACCCTCCCGGTGCTTTGCATCCAGGGCGCGACGGCGCAGTGCGGCTGGCTGAAGTCCGCGCGGCCGAGGATGGTTTCCTGTGCGCAAAGTTCCGAAAGGCCCGCATGGCCATGGGTCAAAACCCACCCCCAGTGAACATCCCAATCCCACTACATGTAGACTATGGGTGGTGAATTCACCTGCCCCAAAATGGGATGCCATTGGTTAGGACCCACAGCCACATGGATTTTCAGGGAGTTGAAGCGGGCAGGTCTCCATTCGCTCTATACCTTCAAAGCAACCCCCGGACAAAGTGCCCTCGAATGCCCTCGACGAACAACATCGCTGCCCTTTGACTCGGGCTTGGTGGGTGAGGCAATGTAAGCACAAAGAGTGCTTAGAAGCAAAGAGGGCCACCCACCCATCACACCAAGTACACGTCTCAGAAGTCAGCAAACAATCTACGAATGCCAGCACACCAACCCTATGAAGACTCTCTTAAGATTTAGTAAAACTGCCCAAACGACAGGCTGCTGCCGTAAACACGTCTGCTGCCAAACCTTAGCACACTCCAAGCAGCCAATCCTTCCGATGAATGGCACCCTGCAGCGGCTAAAGACTAGAACACGTCTTTGCGCACTCTTTGGCAATTTGCCAGCTTCTGCGAACCTCATGCCACTTCCCGCAGCGAAAACATCCGCTGTCAAGGGGCAGCTTCCAAAGATGCCAATGCCGCCGCAGTGGCTGCAGTGACTGGGCCGGTCCCACCTCGCCATGGGCAGGGGCTGCGCAACTGACCTTGTCACATCCCAAAGCCGAGCTCATGGCCAAAAATAAGCAAACCAGCGTGCAGCACGACTTTGCTCTCCTTTGTTTTACTGGAAGAGGACGAATCTTTTTTGACTCTGCATTCCCTTGGCACTACTATACCCCACTCAGATATTTGAGAAGCATATTCCCCGCTGACCTCCCAGCGGGCCAAGGGATGCTAACGTGACGTGCCTTCCAGCGCCAGCGCCAGCAGCTCCGCCGCCGCAAAGACCTCCGCCGCCGCCAGGCCCGGGGCCGCCTCAACTCCGAGGGCAGAGGGTTGCCAGGGCTTGGGAGGGCGGGTTGTGGGTGGGTGTATGTGTGAGGCTCGGAGGCTGGGAGTATGCATGGGTGGGTGGGGTGGGTGTTTTTGTTTGGTTGAGGTGGTTTCAAGTTTCTTGCAAGACCGATGTGCAAGTGAATCCTGCGGTTGTGCCTGCATTCCGTGGCCTGATTCGGAGCAGCCCACCAATATGGCAAAGCAGCCATCTTCCAAAGCATCCCTAAGCATCGTTCTCGGTCCCCAAATGCCACGCTTGACTCTTGACTCTCAGATGCGCGCAACGCGCTCTCCCGAAAGTATCTCTAACACCCGCGGATTCCCAATTACCCTCATGCAGAAAGTTTATGTAACTACAGACTGCACGTGTGTAGTCAAAAGGCAGCTATTGAAAAGGCAAGTAGCGCTTAAATATATCAACTACTCCGGGGAACCGATACATGAATATATTCAGCTGTTGCTTATGCAACCCCCCTGTGACAATGTACGTGGTTGTACTATGCATGCATAGAGGGCTCTGCATAAGCAACAACTGGATATATTCATGCACCGGCGAGTTTGCACGTCCCCAGTGAGACGTACTAGGCAGCGCAGGCTCATTGTGTGGTTGAACCCGACATCTTGCAAGAAAGCAAGCCTACAAGCACAAATTACTTGGGAGCGAGGAGGTGGATTCAAGCAAGCTCACGGCACGGGCAAGAGGATAGCTACTCCAGCATGCAGAAAAAGGCGGTCTGGGGAGGTCAAACACAGCCCAGGTACCAAGTCGTCTTTCATAATTGTGCACCAAACGCACAACGCATACGAGCCAAGCTCTGTTTGTCAAGATCCACTTCGCTGGCCAACTGTCACGCAGCCTAGGCTTGCTTCGCTGCAGTATTAGGATCTACCTTGGTCTACGCGACAGGGAACACGTGCCTTCACTGCGCTCCACCGGAAAGCTGAAAGCCCCCGGCCAAAAACTTCCTCTGGTAGTCTTGGATAAAGCGTGTCCTGGTGTACGACCTGGCCATCAATCTCTCGAAAAGCCGGGCGCCCAGCATAAATGCACTTGATTGTGCACAAGGTCAAACAGCCATCTCCGAAACAGCCTGGCGTGTTTTTCTTGTTTTCGACTGCGGGGCTTGGAAACATAGGCAGCTAAACATGGCACTCTAACGATTTGCAAAATAGGTGGAACAAAATCTTAATGGGTCGAGCCACAAATGTCGAGCAAGTTACTAAGTTCAAGGCGAATGCTGAAACTACCCATGACTCGCAACACGGCCGTGACCGCACCGCCTCACGGAAGGAGTGTGCATGCGCGTGCCCAGGCACTTTCTCACGTACCCGAATCGTGCTACCCCTTCCTATTCCACTGCTGGACTTGCATCTAAGCTGTAAGTGTGCCAGGCCCCCACCTAGAACAGAAGCTTTTCATGGGCGTAGATAGCTATTTGTCCTTTGTGCCGTGCCATGAAAAAGATCACCTTTCCCTCGCTGGGTCGGAAGCAGCTTGTTTGTCTTGTCTAACTATCGGCTCAAAAAAAGGATCAGGAATCACTTTTGCTTCCATAGCTTCGATGCCCAGGCCTGTCCAACCAATCCGTGGATTCCTAGGTGACGGCTTCCCACTTGAACTTCACCTGACGTCCGGCTGCCCAACCTTTGCCCGTCCCGACCTGAAGCTGGAAGTTGCGCCAGCTCCGTGCCAACAGCTCACACCAAGCAAGCCCTGCCTCGGGCGTCTAGCGCATGCACGGCCAGTGCTCAGTCCCCTTCTTCAAGATCCAAAATATAGACAGGGTATGCAGGGTTTTCAGGAAAACGAATTGGTGACAGCCAGGTCAGCTTCCATAGTACTTGGAGGGGGAGCATGGCCGGAGAGCGGCGCCGCGTCTTGTGGTGGCCTGGGGCTCGGATTGAACAAGTAATCCAGATGTGCATCTGGGCATACGGGTCCAAATGAAACCATCAAGCATTGCAGGTTCGTGTCCTTGTTTAACCATCTACCTGGGTTTCATTTTACCTGTTCCCCCTAAGGTCCTACATGTGTTCCACCATGCTGGGATTCCGTTGTGTTCATCCGCTGTGGTATGCATCGGAAGCTTCCTTCATTAGCTCATCCTCTACGTAATGCATATCTTGGGGTAGTGCAAAGGGTGGCCTGACGTGTTGCATCTGTGTAGGCTGCCCCTTAAACGAAGCTCAACAAGCTGCCCTGCAACGCTTGCACAACTAAAAACAGTTAAACAGTTAAACACCGATTCATAGTTTTCGCCAAGCATGATAGCTCACAGCTTTCACGTGTTGTCTTCCAACTGCTTTGGCTGCCACATCGGTTGAGGCCAAAGGCGCAGTATACAACACGAAGTGCCATGATTACGGCAGGAAAACATAACACAACTACTTCCACCGCAGGGTTTTGGGAAACCACTGGACTATGCTGCACCTAACTCTGGCCGCCACTGACTCGCCCAATGGCCCGCAGGCAAGCGGCAAGGGCTGCGTGGAAAGATCCGCGGCTGGCAACAGAAAGGCCTTGGGAAAATATCCTGGCTTGGCAGAGGTGGAAAAGGAGTAGGGTTCTTTCTTACACTCGGCAATCTAAAGGAATGCAACTGAGGGGAGGCTTAGTTGCTTCTCAACCTGATCAAATTGCTGCGCGTTAATTTGTAATCATGCCTTACCTTGGTTGGTAGCTTCTTATTGAACACAAGCCTGTTGCCGTAGAAAGGTCCCTTTGCCCACGGGCAATGTAGCTTTGTCTTCCTGGCATGCTCCCAACGCACAGCCCTTGTGTGAACAGTAAATCCAACAAAATCACCCAACTTGCTGGGAGAGGCCGCATGATTGGAACACAGTCAGCGGCAAATAGTGACTTGTTGCTGCCAAAACCCCCCCCTTCCGGAAGCACAACGCCTATATACTGACTGTACTGAACATATACGAAATCACAAACTTACAAATTCAAGGGTTGATCACGCCCTGAGCGCACCCCCTCTTCAAATACCTGGCTGCACTTTGTTCCATTTGCTTGTGCTGCTTAACTGTACCAGTTCCTGCCATCTGACTCAGATGGACACGGATCGACAAATTACAGTGGCTTCTGCCGTCTGTGCACTGCCTGCGTTCCGGCACCCAACCATGTCAAAATTCTTTATGTTCACACCGTTTCCTGACGGGCGTGTTAAAATGAACATGGCAGCTTGCCTCTGGGACCACCATCCTGCATGTAGCATAAACGTAGAATGGCATTTCCACGATGATGTCGTCATAGAACCATGCACCTGACGCACGCACGTGTTGTGTTAATGGCAGCATTGCCACCGGATGCTGTTCGGTGCCAGCATTGATCGGGTTTCCGATGCTTACCATCCCTGTAATTGTTCCATAGTGGGGAGCACTTGGGTGGAACATGCCAGCCTCAAAGTTGTCGATGTATGCGCCTCGTCCGTGATACCTGCCTTTGCAATCGTAGCTGATCTGCGTGTAGTGCGTCAGGAGACTGCCGCCATCCCCGCCCCAAGTCTGCTTGAATGACAGCTTATGAACATACCAACCGTCCAGCTGATCCCAATCGTCATGTGTCTTCACGCCGCTTGGAAGACCGGTGGCAAAAGTCGGGCCAGTAAACTGATAATGAGGCACCAGCAAGTCCCACACTTTTTGGCCGATATTGATGATCTGCACAAAATCATTTACTGACAGCCGCAAGGAAAGCAGTTCCACACTGGCACTCCATGCACGCTGTCTTCCACGTTGCCGAGGCCTCTCTGATTGTGCAGGATGCGGAGTGATTGAAGATTCAAGCAGAGTGGTGACCCCCGCCTTTGGCGAAGCCAGTAATTTCTCCAAGTCCTCGACCGTTGGATTCTGCGCATCACCCGGAAACGGTGGGCGGGCGTGCACAGGAGCCAACAAAAACCTGCCCAGTTTATCCATCACATCGTCCCTTCGCCGCGCATCTCCATCTCCCACTAAGTTGGCAGTACCATTGCCAAACAAAGCGCCCCGTAGAAAAATGCGCGGGCTCTGCTGCAAGCCCCTGCAGGTTGCATACACCTGCAAGGGCAGCACAGCCACTGGTCCATCCCCTGCCTCCTCGATGTAGCCAGACCCAAACTGTGCCTTGAGGGTAAGAGATGTCAAAAAAGAAGAAGACTTCGAGTCGAGAATGAGCTTGGCATCGTTGATGAAGTCTCCCTGCCCTTTGTAGTGACCTTTGGCATACCAAGTTACACTCATATTGGCAAAGCAGCCGCCCCCTGGCCCAGCCTTTGGAAGCAAAGAAAAACCAAAGGGCCCAGCCTTGGCAAGCTCAAAGCCCTGCATAGTGTCCCACGAGCTTGACTGTGGGACCACCTTCCCAGGCTTCGTAGGCAAATCAATGGCATGAGGCTGGGACCACATGCCCAGGACAAACATCAGCCTTGACGGTGGGTCTTGAGGCAACTTGGAAAGGTGCCAATGGGAGCTGAAGGATTTGAGCTCCATTGGCTGTGCCAAAATGGCTGAGGTCCGAGCAATGCTCATGGCGCACAAACTCGCAGTGAGGATGGCCAGCCCAAGCCATTTCCATGTACTCCATTTGCCCTGCTCGAACGGCACTCCCGCACTCGCGATCAAGGGCTGATTCATGGCCCAAAGTCGCTGGCTGGTGTGCTTGTGTCTTGAGCCAAGGGTGCTACAACAGGCGGCGTGTCAAGCCTTTGCTACCTCACAGGACACGTGTGCTGCAAACCCTTCGCCAGCTCTCTGAAACTGGTCAACCCAGTCGCACGCGCTCAGTCCTCTTGCCGCCAGAGCGGAGACCAACCTTGCGAGCAGAGAGCGGGCTGGTGCTGTTCCCAGTGGCTGCAGCTTCTACCGATTTGGGTGCAAGAACAAGATGCCAGGCACCTCTGTGCCGAGTGGAACCAGGAGGCAAATTTGACAACAGAACCAGGATGCGAGCACAAAGTATGATAAACCACGAGGAGGCCGGATCAAGCAGCACAATGCTCACAGTTCCGGCAACAAGTGCCACCCAAGGACAAATACACACAAACCTAACGACAGAACACTTCCTCCAATGACACTAGGCTTGGTTAGATTAGTCGAAGGAATGGTCACGCAACGCGTTCTGAAAATGTGGCACTTGACATGGGTCTTCAAGGGTTCCTGTTGGGGAGCCAACATGTTTCTTTGCTACCAGACACATGTGTACGCAGTGCAGCGGCCAAATTCGGCGTAGCAACAAAAGGGCCAAGTGGCACATCAATTCCACCATAATGAACATCACCTCCCTCTGCCACCGCGGCAAGAGCCGTCCCCGGGCTTCCCAAAGCCTGCCTCTCGGTTGTGTCTGGAGCACTGCAAGCGAGAACGGCATCAGCACCGGAACCTGCGTTGACAGGCTCCCAGCTGCTGTCTAGCCCAGGAAAGCATTTAAGACCTTAGCATATTTATATATATATATATACACATATTTTTACATATATATATATATACTTATATACACACTTATTTATGTACGCGTGCCATAAGGTTCTATGTACGCCAAGTCCTTGCTGTGAATCTTACCGTGGCATACCGTGGCCAAACCAACAGGAGGGAGAAAAAACATTATCCTCCACATAGTCTCTGCTGAAACAAAGACAGCAAAGAAGGTCTGATGCTGAGCTCTGTACCCGTCCCGTTGCTCAACTCATTCATATTTCATGATGCTTGGGCACCGCTCCAGCAGGAAAGTACCACACGCGGACGGCTATTGCAGCCCAAGCTGTGAGACTGGTTACGGACAAAGGGCACCTTGGACTGAATTGGCTATTGTTTGGGATTCACGTGATTTCATGATTTGGCGGCAAGGCTACACATAGCTTGCAAACAACACACTGTAACTTGGTACATCTTTGTATGCTTCCGATGGGGTCTGACCCAGGTGCGACTGGGGTTGGTTGCTTCCGTACTAGCTTGCATGCATCACCTTCATGCCCAGCTGGCACAAATTCACGGCACCAAAATCCAGCGGTGAGCATGGCAGGTTGCAAGGCTGCTCACAGACTACACTATGCCACAAATGCTTGGGATGTTGCATGTCCATCTCAGTTGCCTGGGGGAGCATGCTGCGCACTGGGGGAAGACACATCTACAGGTCTGGCAAAAACGAATCCCGAAAGAAATCAGATGGCAACAAACAACCCCCTTCAGCAAGGGCTGCTCCTGCTGTCACGGCCCGCCTTGAAGATCCAGAGCTATCTGGATTGACGTCTCGCTGGAAAAGTTGGAGCTCCAGACAACCTTGCGTGCCGCTTTCCAGTGGCTGCACACCCCTCCTGCTAACCCTAGGTCTGGTGGCTGCTCGCTGGCATTGAGCAAACAGGCCCGTGGACCAAGCACCTCCTGAACCACACGGAATAGAATTGAATGAGGGGAGAAAGGGTTTTGAAGCCCATACGACCCATATTGAGACCTTGCATTCACGCACCTTTGCCTTTGCGTTCCAAGGTCTGGAAAGAAACAGCAAGGAAACACATGGCTCTGTACACATGCTGAAGCCAATGTAAGGTCACCAGCACATGCAAGTTTAGCAAGTGTACTCGGGCCGAGTCAGGCGAGCCATAGAACTTCTGCAAAACACGCACACACACACACACACACGCGCGCGCACCCATGATTACCAGGTACAAACAAGGCCCCTGCACCAGTGCAGCTTCCCAAAGACTCAAAGACACAAGCAAGCCTGCTGTGCGAAACCAGGTAAAGCCCATCCAACAACTGTTGAGCAACTGGTCTGAGAAATGTCCTACGCCTGTCCTGCTGTTGACTGCTGCTTTAGTCGAGCAGCACTTACGCCCACGTTGCCCAGGCTGCTGCTCGCATTGTAGCAGTACCTCACCGACTGCCCAATATTGAACGGGTGTCCCTTAGACCCATAGATGGCAAAGCCACCTGTAAGCAGAGCTTCTGGGGCTGACTTTGCAGTTTCCAGCAGTCCAGGAGGGCAAGAGTTGAGGTTGATGAGCATCCGGGCAACAAAATCCCTATGTTGTGCCTGCGCTGCCGCTGCGTGCTATCGCGCACCAATCTTGGAAGCCCAATCTGCCAATTCCTTGTTGACTTCCTTTTGGGAAGCTAAACAAACATGGGCACTTCAGAACTCTGCGGTCTTGGCAGCTCCACTTACTGCGTGGGCCCCGCCTCTCATAGCCTGGCTCCACCAGCACCGCCACGGTGGCAGCTTTGCCCTGGATACTCTGGCACAGGAGGTCCTCGGCACTCGCTTCCCCGCGATGGAAGCCCTATCATTTCCTCTCACCAAAAACGCACAGAGGTATTCCGCTGGCGGCAACCACAAGGTTTTATTAATTGGGCGCCAAATGGTTCTGGGCGGCCCGGAAGAGTTAGTTGAGATCAAAGCGGCTGCTGATGGGGGCTCTCAAACAAACCCAGTCGAATCTGCATTTAAAAAGGTTTGAGGCAAGTTTTCCAGAAACCAAACGCTTCCTTTCTTTGCCGACTCCAGTGGCTAAATGCAGAGCGAGAAGCCAAGCGATGCTGCGCCAAGTTCCTTCGGAAGCTAAATACCTGAGGGCTATCCAGGTTCAATCTCAAGCGGCGCTTGTCTTTCACAGTATGTTACACTGTTTGATGGAACTCGTTGCTTGCTGGCAAAATCAAGCAACCAGCAAGGACACAGGTTCTCAAGCATTGATCCCAAGTCATCTCATTAAAAGACTAGACCAAAAAGCCAATATGCGCAAACCAAGGGCTAACATAACAGATTGCCAAAGAAAATGGGTCACGTCATGGGTCCCCAGTTGCACCCTGCACTCCGCATCTTTTGGCACATAGCACCAGGTCCGGGTTCTTCTGCTTCCGGGCATGGGCGAAACGTCCAGCACTGGCAAAAAGCGAGAGGTCGCAAGCGTGGGAGCCCAGGACAAACACGGTGGCTGGCAGCTTGTTGCCCAAATTCCTCGGAACAAATCGACAGCACCCCTCCCCCCCCGCCGGGAGTGAACAACTGGGTAAGTGTAGGAATGGTGAAACGCCCTAAAGTGCATGTTGCCTGTGCCGTTGCGCATGGCACATCGGAGAGTTGCATGGTCTCAAATGCCTAAGATCCGCAATCTGCAATGCGGAAAGAATGATTTCTTAGAACGTCTGGTTTGTCTTCGGTTTGCATTGCACAACCTTGCGCACATGATTCTTCAACACACAAGTCTGTTTGCAGAAAGCTCTCATGGATAGTCATTCCTACGGGACCATTGGCAACAACGCATCGAAACCGGTGGCGAGGAACCAAAGGTACACCCCAAGAAAAGTTCCTAAAACATCTTCGAGGTTCTGATCGAAGGGCTCAGAACCTTTGTTGGGGAAATGAAAGTTAATACTGCCTCCTGTGTGTTCTGTTGAGAGACGCTCTTTGCACCAAGGTGTAAAGCGAAACCACCAAACATCACCAAACAAAAACTGCCACGTCAAGTGTGGGGTCCAAGTTGCCCTTGAATCCATATATACCCTCGGAACCGTACGACCAAAGTCCCCACCCCCCCCCCCCCTCCCCCCTGCCCCCCAATTCCCTGCCCCCCACCCCCTCCCTCCTCCCACCCCCCCCTCCTGAGGCGAGTCACCAGGGCGCCTGCTGCACCACCGGCCACCCCTCGGCGGCCGCCAGCAACGCGCCGTTCTCCGCGGAGGTGAGCAGCACGCAGCGGCCGCTAGGCTTGGTCACCCGGCGCAGCTCCCGCAGCGCCTGGAGCAAGAGACCGCCCCTTCACAGCCCCAGTGGCCGTGAGGAAAACGAAGCACCCGTTTCTGGTACCTGTTTTTGGTTGCCTTTGAAGGGAAAGCCACTCTGAACAAAAGAAACACCTCTGGAGCCTTCTTTGTGGAGGGAATGCTTGCCACAGCACCAAGGCAAAGGGGCCACCCAATTGCCCACCAATTCCATGCTTCGTGGGCGAAACAGAAGGTTACCCACTTGCAAGTGTGAGGGAGGTACCCTTTCAGGCCACCAAAAGTGTCCAATAGGCGGAAGCTGCAAAGTAGTTCTCCCTCCAAATGATAAATGGCTGAGCATGATGCAGCAGTAATCCTGGATCAAAAAAGCAGGATCAGGGCATTCTTGCCTAGCTTCTCCCATCGGCTCTCCAAAACATTGGCGCCGCATCAATCAAAGTCAATGCAGCCGAGCTTCGCGAGGGTACAACTCCTGAAGGATTGTGGTTTGTAGCCCTTCAGGTTCTAGTAACTCAACGAATCTTTCTCTGCAAAAGCTCCTGTTGCTCCCACCCCTGGAGCTGCCCCTGATGCAGCAAATGTTGAAGTGGGGGCCACACGTGTCTGCCTCAGATATCTTCATCATGCGTCCCGCGACGTTTCACCAATGAAACGTGCTGAAAATGAACAACATATCTGGAAGCATCAAGGGGCATTCCTTAGGAAGCAATGTAGAAACAAACTCACAGAGAAGTCATAGTATACTCCGCCTTGTTCCTCATTAGTTGACGCTCCAAAGCTGTCAAGGGAGGGTCCTTGTTGCCCTCCACTGTGCCGAACTGGCGCCCGAAGGGTAGGTCACACAGCACCACGTCCGCGAAGCCACTGGGCAGCGGCAGGCACGTCACGTCCCCCCGCAGCAGCGATCCCAGGCGCCCCAGAGAGGCGAGATGGGCTGCGGCGCGGGTGAGCATCTCCTTGGCGCAGGCAGAGGGCCCAAGGTAGCTTGCACTTGGCAACATTTCGAGTTCAAGATGCATGTTTTTTCAGCTGATGCTTGAAATCTGAAGTCTTTAGGGAAAACAAGAGGGTCGCCCGTCTTTTTGCTCATTGGGGGTTCTGATTCATTGCTGCACACAAAACACAAACACATTACGTGCCTTGGCAAGAAGCATGTGCACGAGCCGAGGCATATCACCAAACATGTTGTTCCAAGCTTTCACCATCATACTGAATGTCGATTCACAATGTCCGAGTTGTCTTTCTGTTCATACTTTAAACCAAGAAGGGGATTGAAAGTGTAATTCGCACAAACAAATGAGCCCCTCACACACCGGAGCCAAACAAAAGCACAAAACCTGCTAGCCAAAGCGTGTGTCCGCAGAGATGTCCACTCCCACCACGTAGGCGCCCACTGGCGCCTCTGTGAGCAGCATGCCGGTGCCGCACATGGGATCTAAAACCACCTGCAACCGAGCCACGAGTGGCCCTGGGTTGGTCTCATCAGCCATGGGCTTTTGCTACACCCTCGATCCATGGCTTGCTGTGGGGTTGGAACAACTCAACCAGTTCAAACATCTTCCACTCAGGAATTGATGACGCGGCGTTGCACCTTGATCAACGATATCCGGATTCAGTCCTCTTAGCCTCTTCAGCGGAAAACGCAGCAAGAATCCGTTGTGCTGGATTGCGGGAAATGCATAACATTTGGTTCCTCATGGTCCAAGCTTGTAGTCCTGAAAAAGACTGCGCTGCGCAGAAAATGGTTCCCACAAACATAATACACAATCAACCGTGCAGCGGTCCCTTGATCCAAAGATCCCTTCATTCAGCATAACTCCTACGCCCAACGCACGTCTAAAGGTTCCCCGCCTCTTGGTCGCCCCTTTCCCCGGTTGCCCAGCGAACAACTCAACACTAGTTAGGCTTGATCAAGCTTGGTGGGAACCCACCAAACAACAAGTTGGTGGGCCACCAAACAACTCTAATAATTCAACCCAGATTCAAGGCGTTGCCAACCGGGATTCGCCCGCAATCCAAAATCCATGCGCCTGCCTGCCTCCCCAACCTGGATGTTGGCGGCACTGCACATGGCCCAGGCCACGTTGGGGTGGAGACCCGTGGCTGCGCGGTACGTTGGCCGCCGCTGCAACTGCCGCAGCAGCAGTAGCCCTCAGGTTTTCGGGCTTCCCATGAAAAAGAGTTGCATTGGGTGGGGGGGGGAGGCAAGGAAAGGGATGAATGGAGGAAAATTAGATTCAATCAAGGCGTATATGGTCATGCACTGCATGTGGCTTCTTGCGATAGATAATTGATGATATTGTTGAATGTAAGAAACACATATCCACAACTTCTTTTCAATCTGGTAGGTGCTTGCTCAGAACCCTCCCATGGATATCCATGGATTGGAACCCTAGCTTGACGAATGAGCTCTGGACCAAAACAATCAAACAAAGCAAGGACAGCGACACCATCCAATTCAGCAATTGCTTGCCACCACAAGCCGAGTTGGTTCACACGGCTGTTTTGGCAACAGGCGGCCAACTAGCTGGCTGTGCACCACAAATCCCTCCTACGAAGGACTCTTCCAAGGAGATGTAGAGCCAAACCTCCAGGTGTGGGTTCTGAAGGTCCAGCGCCCAGTGAAAGCGGTCCTGTCAAACAGGTCGGAGAAATTGGACGGCATGAGGCATCCCACAGCGAGAAGCTTCTGCACTGATTTGAGCAAACAAGCCAGACGGAACCGTCTTCTACCAGGTCCTGAAGGAACACCTAGGGCCCAGCAAGCAATGTTGAGCTCTCAACCCTCAAAATCTGGATGAACAGATTTCAAGGATGGCCCATGTCCCAGTCGCCCTGCAGTCCAATCCTCTTGCCGGTCCTGTAAAGCCGAGCCCAGGCGCCTGCGCGAGGCCATGAACTGTTTGCAGAAGGGTCGCCTGCCTCTTGAGAGGATGAACACATCCTAGGAGCTTCGAAGGAAGGAGCACAAGGAGATCGAACCAGTTCTGTGGAAGATGTCCTTGAATTTCACAGATTTGCAGTGACCCCCCAGCTCGAGGCTCGAGTGAGTCGATGGCCCTGACCCTGGTGCCACATCTCTCTGCAGTCAGCTTTATGTCCAAAAGCCTGACTTTGACCAAAGCTTACTCAAACTTTGCAGGAAGCCAAGGACCAAACACGTGCACCTGCGGCCATCACAGCCCGTCCCTTGCCCTCCCTCTCGCCTTGCCAGCTCCAGCGAGGTCTCCGCCATCTTCCCAGATCGCTTGCAGCTCACCCGGAAGGAACTCACCGAACCACACACCTCAGCTGTCCAAAGGTGCAATTCAAAGCGCTTGGCAACGCTCGCAGTTGTCAAAATAGAAACAGGCCGGTCCTTTGGCTGCGATGATAAGTCTTGGATTTGTAGAAGGGAGAACATATTCAACATGTAATCGGCCACTTGCAAGCCAAAAGCCTGTGGTATTTTGTATTGGGCACAGCTCCTGCAAGGAAGTCAGGAGCGGAACCTTCCTCAACCAACATCACCAACTTCCGTGAGAATTTCGGGATCGGGCTCCAGCCGGTCAATTCCTCAAACACTACATATGGTCTTAGCTTGTCCCAGGCTGGAACTATCATACATTGCGAGCCTCCTGCAGGTTTGCCAACTCGATTCCAAACGCCGCAGCAGTCACAAAACGAGCAAAGTTGACATCACACAAATCTGGGCTGCCCTCAGATCCCCCGCTAAAAAGTTTAACTTTTAGTGGGTTAAATGGAAACTACCACTAAACACCAAAAAGCTAAAAGGCCAAGGGGACCCAGCCACCAAGAACTCGGTCGATGCCAAACTTGTGCTCCGAGGCACGCCTTCCCAACTTCGCAGATGCTCATCCCAGTCCAGGTCTTCCGGGAAGCCAACGCCGCGGAAGGTGGTCAGCAGCACCTTCTCGAAGCAGTTCAGGCTCTGTAGGCCTGGGATGTCCTTGGGCAGTCATATTAAAACAAACCGCCATGAGGAACAACCTGCTCAAATAGCTCAACACGTCAAATTGCTGTCATACATTGACGGCTTGATTGCTAAAAATACCGAATCTCTGCGCTGGATTGGCCAAGGTTCCAGTCGTGACTTCCAAAAGATGCGGCCCTTCTGCACCTCCACCTCCTCCGCGCCGATCCGTTCCAGGCACTCGAGGCACTGGCGGTACACGGCAGGGCCGTTGCCCGCGCCCGTGTCCACCGTGCCAAGGAAGCGGTGGAGGCTCATGGAGCAGCATGGAAGCCAAAGCCAGTCGAAGAAGTATGAAGCTTGCTTTTGACGTAGATCTGAATGGGTCTCCAAATACTACATAGTCTATTTGGGGGGATCTAAATAGGGGGGTAAATGGTATGTAGTTTGATCCTCCCTTCGGGGTCTCCACAGGGAGACCAAAGGAAATGAAACAAAATTCTCAAGGGGTCTGGAAACAACTGCCTTCAACTTGACAGAACCAAATGAACTCGCCCAAAGAAAAAACGGTGTCTTCGTCGGTTGCTGCAATTGGTATTGCCAGACTTTACAACAGGTTGATCTACCATGTGCCATCCGGAGCTGCACTTCTTCAAAGCGAGTTCGCCGGGCTGAAACATGATGATGGCAGCTTACAGGGTCAAGTTATCTAGGCCTTCAATGAGCCCTAGCAGACTTTCACAGAGCGCTTCTGGGTCGCAACTTTAGGCTGACTTCCATTCTGCATCACAATTCAATCAAAACCAAAGCTGCTCATCACAGGACTTGCTAGGTATAGCTTCTTGAATGGACATGGGCGAGAATGGTCACGGGGGCTGTGGCCCAGATTTTCAGCTTGAGAGCCAAGCATGCGGCAATGCAACCTGACATACCCAGCTGCCCGCTACTGCAATTGGGCGAGCTATGCTTGCTGCCTGGATGTGACTGAATCTGTGTCGGGATTCGAGGTAACTCCTGGCAAGACCACGAAATGAAGTGGCAAATCTGCAAAATTGTTTTCTTCTGCTTTGCTCCGCAATTTATTGGACGCCCCTTTCCCATGGTCACGCGATCTACGACCATGGTGCAAAATTGACAAATGGCACAATGTGTCAAGGGAACTGTTGCGACCAACCGAGTCTTGGCAATAATTTCCCTTCGTATCCACAAAGGAAACATTCCTCCAACTCAGCTGGGAAAGGTCATGATCTGACTGGCCGGTCAACATGCACAACAAGCCGCCCAACCGCCCCATGCTGAGGCTTTCGGCTGGCGACTGGTGGCTGCCCTCCAGGCTGGTGATCATTACCTCATTGGGCGAGCGGATCCAAGTGGTGTGGCCTTAAACACACACACAAACTCTGAAAAGGCCACATCCAAGTTCTGCCTTCCAACAGGGGTGGTGGCCAAGGTTGTAACATTGCTCAGCCGCTATTCATCGCTATTCCAATCATTTGTGGCCCTGATGCTCAACGCCATTGGGATGAGGGCTGTTGATGCCTCTCCCACCAATTTCAGCTTCGGGGGCGTCCAAATTTCTCAAATCCTGGCCAAGAGGCAGAGGATAAGTTGGTGAGGTTGATTGCCTCAGTCAACAGTGGCAGGCGTCTTTCTGGCGCACCATGCCACGCTCACGAGGGATAGCACTGTACTCCTGTTCGGAAACACCTGAATCTGTCTTGAAACATGCGCATGACCCGGGCATCGGGAGCCCTTTCACTTGCTGGCGGCCAACTAAGCGCTCAAGACTTGCACCCCCCTCCTCCCCCCAACATGGTTTCATCAAAGCTGCCGCTTGAACCAGAGCATCGCCATCAGCACCTAGGCGGGCTGTCAAGCACAAATTGTGGCCCATCGATGCATGGACAAACACATAGGTGCCAGCAGGATACTGCACAAGCTGGCGAGGCTCTACAAGTATGCCGGAAATTTTGCAGTTCAGTTGTGTGTGTGTGTACAAGTCCAGGCTTGTGTTGCCGAACCTGCCCTGGCCCCAGCAGCGCCCTATCCTGATTGCTCAGCTTGCCTTTTGCTTTCGCCTGTTGATTCTTTGCGCATTCCTCCGGGAAAAGAAGTAATTCACGAAAGGAAGCCACCTAACATCTCAACCCAATGAACAATCAGGCGCTCTGCGTTTCCCTTGCTGACAAAGCGCCGGCTTGAGCGAAGCTAACGCGGTCAAATTCATTGAGCATTCCGCAGTAACAACGCAATCTTGGCCAACGCTGCCCCCAAAGGACCTTCACTTCCGTTGCTGCCCAACTTTGTGAGCCTTGAACTAAAATGACCTGCTGATGGGGGCTCCCTGCAAGGCGCAACGGCGTTCCTTCATTCTTTCGGCCAGCCTGCCATCCTTCGTGCCAAGGCGCCCCAGGGCCCCAATATCCATGGGATGCTCTGGGCAAGCTGCAAGCCTGCCTGCAAGCAAACGGACGGGGAACAAACATTGGTTAGACGGCGCGGCTTGAATGTTGATTGACTTGCAACGAATTCCATGTGACGAACAATGTGGGCTGATCAATTCCTCTCTTCAAGTTTCCCTTTTCTGGTCATTCCAATGTTATTCACGTTGTACCGTCACCAACTGGGATTCAAACCAGCGTTGCTCCTGAAAACGGTTTGCGTTCATTCCGCAGACCTCGTGTTTCCACACAGGCGGCCATCAACGGCCCTTGGGAGGATTGCAACCGGTCGATCTTGATAGCAGGCTTTTTTGCGCAGCCTCGTGTGGCCAACAGTTGTCAATTTGTTTGCTCCTTTGATCTCACCAGGTTTGCAGCGCTGGTCTCAAAACTCTCGAGACTCCAAGATCTGACACTGACAAAATCCATGAACAATGATTGGGAACGACTCTCGTGAGGAGAGTGGTATGCGCATCCACTCTTGTTTTCGCCCCAGCATGCCCCACGAATCATACTAAATCATACTAAATTACACCAGCCTCGACCCCAAACAGCAAAAAACATGACAGGTTTGTATAACCCAAAAAAGGCTTGTCTCCTTCATGTAAGGTGCAAAATTTCAGTAGCTTATGTGAGCAACACATAGTTACAATCAGTCCCTGTAGGAAGTCCCCTTTTTTGGGAAGAGGACACATCGGGTCCATCCATCTCCTTGACGCCGGGTAAAAGCATCGATGTTGTTCATCGACTTCGAGGAGGAAAATGCCATGTCAATGCCATGTTCGAGAGTGAAGGCCCCAGGGATTCGGGGTGAATCCGTAGTACGGACGGACACTCAATGCACTTTTCCATCACCGATGGCCGTCTCGCTACTCTGCTGAAACTTGCGCATCAGTCTCAGCAGCTTGCGGCCGAGGCCGGGCACATGCTACTTCTGGTTTTATCTTCTTCTCGAGCTCGGCTAAAGGTCTTGCCACAAGCAAAACAAGAGAGAACTTGCATAAACTTGCAGACTGCGGCGTTAGCAACTCTTATTAGATACAGCCACCGAACATGTGTCGAAACATGGCCATGACCGTGTGTTGAAATTACCACATTGAGCACCAGAGCCGCCATTCCGTAATGTTGCTGGGGAGTTCGCCACGCACGCAGAGTGTCCAGAAGCACCGAAACCTTTTGCGAGAACGGGTCGGAATCAATGTTCAAGGCGTAGTGGAAGCGAAGCTGTGTCGTCAAACAAGAAATGGATGGGCCATGTCTTTCGCACGTGTTGCTTCGGTGAGCGATGGTCTTGATGCTATCAGCACATCCCTCCAGCTTGGTTTCCCGACAAGCCACGCGCGCTGCGAGCAAGTAAATCAGAATCTCGCCCAGAGCTGCCAAATTCAAGTCGAGATCTCGGAAAAGAACGTTTGATTGCGAGAATGAAATGGAATTGCTCGGCTTTCCAAAAATACTCACTGCGGGAGGCTAGCACAAGCACCATGCAACACAGATCGCGTTGAACCTGTTTGGTGTTCCATGGGTCCAGAGACTGTAGGGAAGCTAGCGCCTCAGACAATGATAATGCACCTTACGACGTCCCACCATGAAAACCCTTGAGCCCTCGCACTTGCAAGTCTTGAGTATTTTCGGACACGTGCAAAACAGCAGCGTCCATATTGCGGAATATGTGGGAAACAAGGCTGGGGAATCTGTCTTCAACCCTTCTGTCAGGAGGCAACTAGATATGTCAAAGCCGCGACCTTGGCATCACGAAGGTGTGAAATGCTTCAGCAAAATGCGTTTGTCAGTGGGACTGGATTATAGAGGGACAAGCGTCAGCGAAAGACTGAATATGATTTTGGCCGGGCCACATGGCTATCCAACTGAGAAGGTGCTAAATACTGGCAACAAGATAGGGGGGGAGGGTTGCAACAGCACTGCCAACAAGAAAGGGTGCTCGAACTACAGTGATGCTACCAAGAGGAAACTAGAAGATGGGTGGCCCGAAGGCATGAGCAGTGCACGGCGCCAAGTAATCCTAGCAAGTTCTCTGCGCAAGTTCCTCTGAGCAAGTTGTTGGCGCGAGTTCCTTTGAGCAAGTTCTCCAAGCAACTTCTTGGCACAAATTATCTGAGCAAGTTCTCAGAGCAAGTTTCTCTGAACAAGTTTCAATGAGCAAGTTGTCTGAGCAAGCTCTCTGCGCGCAGCGCTTGCCGCAACACGCTGCAACTTCCTAGTGCAACTCAGTACTGCAACTTGCTAGTGCCACTTGCTGGTGCTACTTGCTAGTGCCACTGGCTAGCGCTACTGGCTCGTGCATCTCGCTAGCGCTATCTTGCTCGTGCTACTGGCTTACAGTGCAACTTGCTAGCGCTACTTGGCGCAACTTGCTTGCGCAACTTGCTGGTGTCATCCGCTGGAGGTCTTTCCTGCAGCGCTCCTGCAACCCTAGCATCATCAGTCGCCTAGAGCCCCCCTGCCCCCGCTTCATACGATTTTGGCTAAGATGGTGGTTGACCCGCGCAAGCCCTCTAGTTGCTTCGCTGGTAACTGCCTAGTGGAGCCGTGCCCCTTCTCCGTTCCAAGGGTTCGTTGAGTTGGAGCAAAACTGTCAACGAAACCGTCGACTTCTCTGTGGCTCATCACCATCACACTCATCATCACCCTCCTTCTCCTCATCATCATCCTCCTCATCCTCGTCATCCTGACCCTCATCACCATCATCATGATCATCGTCAGCACCTTCATCAGCCACAGAATCTCCTCATCCACCCTCATCATCACAGCGCTGCAAAAGTCCAAGCTAAATGCTTTGTGTTCAGCCCCGAAACCCTCAATTGTCTGCCACTCGCAAATGCCAGTCAACTCCACGAATGCTTTCAGGACCCAAGCGATTTTCTTGTTAGAAGATGTTA